GCAGTCTGGCGGCGGATCCTTACAAAAATGTTAACTCACCTGACTTATCCGTACAAGCCGCTTCGCGGCGGCCGAATTCGCTAAAGGAGGCTCATCGCCATTTTCACTAACTTCGGTTTCTCTATAAAGGAATTCGATGAACTGGGGTCGGTAAAACGGCGTTCGCTTAAACGAGCTTCTCTAAACCGCGTGCCTCCACAAAAAGGACGCCATTAGGAAGGAAAAAGGGGAGTTAGTAACGGTTACAAGTCATTTTGGTACTTACATAAGTAATCTGATTACGCTTGGAATCACTTTTTGATAAATGAATCCGAATGATTGGAAACATACTCTAGTAATCGATTACAAATAATTTGATTACTTGAATCGAGTAGCGTACAGGTCTCCGTCTGGATATGGCCCAGAGGGAGAGCGACGGCAGCTGTAGCATCGCCGCTTGTTGAAAGTGTCGGTAGCTTCATTGAACCATAAGTCCCATGCGCGTGGTATTAAAAAACCAAAATGATAAACAACTTTTCCTATGTTACCTTAGTTGTGACATAAAGATGCGACGTCCAAACTATGAAATGTGATCACTAGGCATGCGATTCAGAACCGATGCCAAGGGCGCGAGCTCTGGCTCCTTGCATCCTAAAAAAATCTGCACACCTTATTTCCCCCACAACACTCAATTAGCCTATCACCACAGCTTACAGAGGCTGCTGAGCGAATGACGGTGCCGAAACACATGATTAGACCAGAAACGCAGTCTCAGTTGTGATATTAAGCAATGCAAGCGTCCCGTTTTGCATTGCTTAATGTCAGAACTCAGACTGCGTTTTTTAGACTAATCATATTTTCGGCATCGTGATTCGCTGAGCTGGCTTCTTAAGTTGCGGTGATAGGCCACCCGAATGTTGTCCAGGAAAGTAGACGCACGTACTTTTTTTTAGAGTGTGCATCGCTTGTCAAGTATCTCAATAAACAAAATCGAAAATTCATCTTCTAGTAAAAGCATGAGATCCAGTACAAAGGCGGTACATCAACGCACACGAACTCTCTACAAAACGTTATAAATCTAAAAATGCAAGCAAGCAACCCATAATTTCATTATTTCAGTGTTCACAAAAACTGTGAGATGCTGTCCTGACTGGTAGGAAAAAGCATTATTGATATCTGCTATGGCCCGCCAAGTGGGAACCTCTTTTCTCTTTTGGTTTACTTAGTTTTTCCTCGATATCGCGAATCAAAAAATAAATACAACGCAATCATGGGAGGCGAACTGAATCTTAACATGCCACTTTAAACGACATGTTAGTTATAGTACAATTTGATGCGCTCATTAAAGCGAGTGAATGTGATATTATGATAAATGCTGCAACAAGAACTACGACTGAATCATCGAAATAATTGGATTTATTTCTTACAGGCTACAGTGCATCACATCAAATCTGTCGTGGTTCTAGCTCATATAGGCGATTACTTGGGTATATTATTGTGTATATAAAAAAGCAAACACTGAACATAAAACATAATGAGCAGTTCGCTATACACTTTCAGATTATAACGCCTGGTAACATTTACGACTTCAGACAGAAACTATCTTGTTTGAATTGTGATGATGTCTTGCATGAAACGAACTCAGATGAAGCATGATATTTGTTCTTGAACAAAAAAGGAAAGGAGAATATAAAAGCTGATTTCCGTAAAATGTTCAGGCACTGATAGAAAGGATGGGAAACCGTGAATTACCAAAGAATTACTCACAAATCTTCGTACGAAAAAAGCGTTATATAAAAGAATTATGTAAAAAAAGTCAATCGAACAACTAACAGTTTTCAAACGCTATCGAAACCAATTGAGCAAAGAACTGTGAAATGCCAGAAAATCTCTTTTTTTTTTGCGACTTTTTTCTACTTTCGTGTAATAACAAAGTCGACGTGTTTAAAAAAAAAAAAAAGCAACAACTAATCCTTGTTTTGGGTCGTTCTTGTTCCATGAAACAAGTGGAAGAGATCAACCACAATGGTTAAGAGCTGTCGAGAGAGTGTCAAATTCGTTTAATGAGTATCTTGTAAGTCTAATTAAAAAAGTGACGAGTAAGATGCTTGAAAATATATCAATGTTCGGAATAATCACATCCATGTTTCTCATGTCTGATAATTGAATAATTTCTTTTGGTGCCTGTATCACAACTGCTAGCTTGGATGGCTCACGGCTTGCTAAATTGTTTTGCACAGCTTTGTTTTATCTTGTGACCTTCTCAACATTGGTTTTGTTAAAACAAATGGTACTAGCATTACAATGATTACTTTAGCTAGTGTTTGAAGATGTCTGTGTGCCAGAACCAAGACCTTATCTGGGCACCAAATAGAGGAATGATTGATTGATGATTATTATTATTATTCTTTAATACAATCCTTCTCCTCCTTCTTCTTCTTATTATTATTAATTCATTTAATTCATTCAAATAAATGTTGTATTGTATTATATTGTATTATTATTACTTCCTTTTCTTCAGCTTTAAGCCTAGTAGGTGTTCAGGCGTGCATAGTCTAACACTTGGATGTCTTCAAAGAAACTTCAGATATCTGCAGGATATACTTCTTTTCATATTAAATGGATTTATCGAATCGGGCGTGATCCCTAATGAGCTTAAGACTGCTATTGCGCGACCGATCTTCAAAGGCGGGGATCCTAAAAAAATTAGAGAACTACCGCCCGATTTCGGTTTGCCCGTGCTAGAACATGTTTTTTTTAGAAACACATCTTTCGTATAATGAACCGTTTCATAGATAATTGTTCACTGTTTTCTTCTAGGCAATGTCGGTTTATATCTGGGAGTGGTACGCAATTGCTTTTAGAGGATGTAGCTGACAAAATGTACTTTGCTTTTGAGGGTAACATGTTTTGTTGTGCCGTTTTTCTAGCCGTCAGCAAGGCCTTCGATAAGGTAAATAATTCAGAAGATGTTATTGGAGAGGCTTTGGAGGTTCGGTTTCGGTGGACCTTTTCACTCGCTCCTGACAAATCAGTTAGAAGGTAAGGCCCAGGTGGTTTGTATAGGTAAAGTTAGTAGCTCAACGCATTTTCTCGAAACCGGCGTCCCCTCAGGGGTCGGTGCTATCCCCATTACTTTTTAATGTTTATGTAAATGACCAACAATCTGTTATTTCTGATGTAATAGTTTTCAGTATGCCGATGAAACCTTGCTTGTTTCACGACATATCAATTTCGAAAAGGCGGTTCACGCTCTAAAGTTAAATGTGCTTAAAGCTATGGATTGGTCTGCGTCCAACCGTGTAAGAGTTAACCCATTAAAAACTAAACTCGTCCGTTTCCGTAATCCCCTGAAACCTGAATTTTCTAATGCCCCTTTTCTCCTACACAGTTCTGGTTGTAAACCTTGTTCTTGTAAGCCTGTTCCCTGGGTAGACAATACAAGATATATGGGTCTTGTTTTTTGGATATGATATGTGGTGGAACAAACAAATGGCTCATGTGTGTAGTGTGCTAAGGGGAGTTGCATGTATGTTGTATAATATGAGAGTGTTTGTTACTTTTAAGGTTAGAAAAACGATTGTTTATACTCTTGCGTACAGTGTACTGCGATATGGGGTGACGCCACATGCCCATTGCACAAGATATTGGCGCTCTAAACTCGACAACATTTTGAAAAGAATGTTGCGAAGTGTAGCGTACAACTTAAGTTTTTTATACAGTGACGATTTTTTTTAGAGATTTACAGATGCCAAGATTACGTAGTTTGTATACTGAAACTGTTGTGCTGCGCCACGTTTGGACTGAAAGTTTTAAAACGCTTCATACACCATCCTGCCTCCCCAGAACGTCTCCTCGGTATGAAGTACAAAGATGCGTCACTAGATATTGAAAACGACTGCGGTTATTTCACGTCTCAGATATTTTAATACCCTTCCTGAACATTTTCAGTGTTACTGACAAAGGAGAGTTGAAAAAGTTGCTTCATCATTATGCTTGTGAAAGCTAATTATTGTGTTGTTGTCATTTAGACTTGAATTGGGAGGCTGGTTAGTTGCAGCTTATGATCGGGTGTTTGGTTCTATGTGTGTTATTTGTTTTGTTCTCGCTTATGCATACTTGTTTTTTGGATTTGACTTGGGAGGCTAGTTAGCCGAAGCCTTCTTTACGTGTTTTTTTATTTATGCGTTCTTTTTTTTTCGCCTATGCGAATTCGCTGGGTCCAGTCCTACAGGCCATTGTCGGCTTAGATGGACCCGTCATTTGACATACCGAAAGCGTTGTGTGAATAAAAATATTATTATTATAATTATTATGTAGCAGCAAGAGTTGTGATTCCGATAACGGAAACGTTGATGATTATTTTATATGCTTACCAGATTGGGATGATCAGATTATTGCCCATGTTTTGCTTGGTAGATAAAATTGAGAGATGGTATCGAGTAGTCAATGTTTTTATCAGCTCTAAAGCGCCTTATATTCTGGAATATAGTCCAGGGACTATAGAGGTTTGAAAGTTGACAATTTACGCGGCGTGGACTATCTACGGGTGCGGACAACGAAATGATTTGCTTTTTAATTTTGTTCAACATGATGAGATAATACAAATTTTGTACATCCCAGATTTTTTAATGATGAGTTCTTTGTCATAGAGGTTATTGTTTCGTCTGTGCTAATAAAACTCGCACTTATGAAGATGCGTTGATAATTACGATTTCACGTGCGACCTAGGGGAACTATAGTTCGAAAAACACGACAGGCAGCAAAAAATATTGAACATTATAAAAACAATAAAGCGTTTGAAACAAATGAGCCGCGTAATTTTGTTAAGAACAAAAACTGGCCGGAAGAGTAGCAATTAGGCAAACTGATGCAATGCGAGTTTTCTTAGATTTTTTTCACATACTTAAACTTTTTTATATCTACATTATCAGTGCACATGCGCGCCATGAGAGATCCAGGTTTTAACTTGGTGAATTTTATTCAATTCAATATGTATATTGAATTGTGGCCCGCGTTGGTTACCACAATGCGCACTTCTTTTGAATGTTCATAATCGAGTTAGGACTGCAGGAGAAAACACGGATGAAATCTGGAGAATTTCCCATTGGAATGTTCACCCTGGGGAAAAAAAAGGAAGTGCAACTGTAACTCCTTTGTAATGTCTGGATGGCTAATTTATTAGAACTGTGCTTCACAGAAAACAATGAGAGTATAATTGAATAAAAAAAAACGAAGGCAGTCATTTTTTGTCAAATAAACTATTCCAAAAAAGAAAGCCGAAAGAACTAATGTATCTCATTGTAGAAAGAAAAAAATAATTTAGAAATAGCATAATTTAAAGGAACAGCAGGTTTTCCTTTGACTGAATACATAGGAAACATAAACATAGTTACCTTGGTGTCACCGGAAAGAGTTGAGCACGTTGGTTACACATATTTAGGAGACACCTGCTGAACAACCCAAACACACAAATGTAAGAAGGACGACAGAGACGCATTCAACCGCTGGACTACCAACTGAAATTTAATGAAACACCTCATCTTCATCGACAGGCTAGGATCAATCATACCTAGCTTGCTTTACTTCCTCCTCTTTTTCTCATTTTTAAACTAAGGCAAGTACCGCCCACAAGTAGACAGACGAGGAGGTTGCCTTAGTTTAAAAATGAGAAAAAGAGGAAGAAGTGAAGCAAGCTAGGTATGATTGATCCTAGCCTGTCGATGAAGATGAAGTGTTTCATTAAATTTCAGTTGGTAGTCCAGCGGTTGAATGCGTCTCTCTCGTCCTTCTTACATTTGTGTGCTTGGGTTGTTCAGCTGGTGTCTCCTAAAAACTTTGGTGTCGCTTATGCTCAACTTTGAACCAGAACTGCGCCACGGAAGTTTTACTTCATATAATCATTTCGTAGGTATTCCCTCAGATTCACTTATCAATGATTGTGTTAAAACGCTTTGACTATTATCGTTTAAAAGAGCTCTGCAAGAATTTCAGGGCTTTGCTTAAATAATTGTGGAAGTTGATGCCTGACACTTCTGCAGTGAATTACAGAAAACACATTTTGCTTGGATACGCCAGTTTTTATTTAAAAACAATGAAAAATATCCAGGTTTTTGCCGCCTCTCAACTCGTACATCGTCTTCCGGGTCACGTGCGCAGTGACGTCACTTGAGTAGGCGCGGGGTTCCGGAAAAGTTCTCTCTTTAGAGCCATCAGCGAGCAGCGAGAACTCATCTGCTCGCGACCGCGTGACCACGTGCTGGCGGGCGCCCCGGGAAATATACGGTGAAAGGAGGAAAGTTTCATCCGGGTCCGGTCATACCCGTCCTTGCCCGTCCGGCGCTGTCCCCCTCCCCCTCCGGCTTCTGGCGGCTATTTGCGGTTTTGTGGACCTAGGATAGAAGGCGCCACTAAAACTCCGTATAATGAAAGTTTTGTCGATAATACCAGGGTTATGAAGCATTTATATAAATGTTGGAACGACAAGATTTATAGAAAACTTACCTTATATCGAGCAGGTATTCGCACAACTTGCTATCTTTTTTTACAACTACCCAAGTGACGTCACTCCGCTTGTTTCTCATGGCCGCCGCTCGTGGCTGCAGGTCGGGAAATATTCTAAGTTTTGCCTCGCTCTTACGCGGTGGAGTCGCAACATTTTGATGAAAGGAGGTGTGTTTTCTACCATTTGTGACAGAGTGAACAATATAAAAAGCAGAAAATGCCAATTCTTTCAAGGTTAAAATCGTTGCACAGCTCCTTTAACGAAAAACTGCAGCACTCTTCCGGTCACGTAGCTCTAACACCGTGCCACTGAGGTTGCGCACCCCATAATATAGGTAGGCAAGATTTTTATAAAAGTTCATATGCCAAAAGATAGGCAATATTATTGAACACAACGAGAATTAATGTGACTCCGTTGTCCACATTTTTATGAATTATTATCCTGGGAAGTGTACTTTCGTTGTGTCTAGCTTTTTTATTTTCAAACTCTCCAACGTTTCTTGTTAATTATAACTTCGCTTAGTACACCGTGTTTGACCAACGCCACCGAAACTGTATTTATTGTTTAGCTAGGCTGAGAGAGTTTCTGAAGACACATGCTCGCGTTACTATCAGTGGCATATCTTTTATCGTTCTCCGTGAATATCCTTGGATACCGTGATCACGGAATACAAGACGGACGGTTGATTGGTCTTACAAGAACATCGATTCCAACGTGCTGTCGGGTTAGAGGTATAGGGGAGATGGTAAGGCCCGTTCGCTCAGATTTTAACGCCATCACACAACGATCAAACACTGACACAGTGTGGATACAAAGGCTGCGTCGGCGCGTTGCCGTAGATCGAGTTTAATCAGTGTTTGAGTTGACACTTGGGGTCCAAATCGTTGAGTTGAAGCTGTCGTTGTATGATTACGATTCTGAATGAGGAGGAACTGAACAGGAATTAAATATACTCAAGAACAACTTGCAGCGGCATTTAGGAATACATGGCGAGCGTTCGTAGTGGCAGCAATGCCAAAAGTGTTAGACATATAATGTCAAAATCCGCGCAGTTTATAGTCTCACCTGCGCACTTTTACTTCCTTTAATAAAAATCTTTCATTTATGCTTGTAATTATTTAGTTCATATAATAAATTTAACTTTAAAAAGGCAAACACGTATTTTTGCACAAATTCATGTGACTGCCTCTTTAGAGATGAGAATCAATTTGTTTCACCGAAGCGCAACTAGAGGGGTCAGATGCCGGGTGATGGCGGCTTACGCTATAAATACATTTCAAAATTATTTTGTTCTATGATCTTCGTAATATTTTAACTATCAAGAAACTCCCTACATCTTCTAGTGAGGCTGTGTTCAGTGTATATAATCCATACATAAGGCTAGTAAAAGCAAGCCTTAAAATACTCATTTTATTGTGGCTAAGGAATGAGGATTTATTGAGATTTTTGTTGAGCTGTCGCAGTCACCCCTTCCTAAAATAAGCTATAATACGATAGAAGCAAACCCAATTGAACTTTTGCGAGATGTCTAAAAGCAAGAACTGAAGAAGACGTTTGCCAGCCAACAGCGACGCGAGAGGGCCGAAGACCTCCTTCGAGCAAGGACCCAAGGCCTAAATGAGGCACACCCGCTTCGTCTAGGATGCTGTGCACCCGATCGCTCGCGCCGACCCTCAAGCAATCGGCAAAAAAAAGCTGCTTATCCTCATGTGGGGTGTGAAGTATGACATTTTTCGTGGTCTTGTTCGCAACCGTACTTCTACCGTCGAATATTTTATCACCGAGGCCATAAACATGAAACGTGCCCTCTTCTCAAGAGCTAGCCACTACCGTCGACACTCGAGCGTAGCTGCTTCTTCGCTATCGTGCTACGACATCAGTTTCAGCATCACTGGCATCCGCGACATCATACGTGAAGTCGTCCAAGAAGAGCTGAAGAAGCTGCTGCCCGCTGCCACACGCACGGCCCCACTTTCCATCGCCAAACTATTGAGAGAGAAGGTTCAACGAGTTCTCCGAACAGAGCGACTGCTTTAGGACATCGTTGAAGGTATGCTAAACCGCCGTTGCAAAGCACCGCATCGTTACCAGGGACGACGCGCTCCCTGTGTATCGATCGTCGTAAGGAGTCTCCGTAAAAGAAAGAGACGTGATCAAGGAGGACGTTTAAGAGATGCTGAACCACGACATAATTTAGCATTTAACCAGTCCGTGGGACACTCCAGCCCTACTAGCTAAGAAGAAGGACAGAACGCTCAGGTTCTGCGTGCTCTACCGGAAGCTAAACGCGGAGACGAAGGAAGATGTCTACCCACTCCCCCTAATCGACGACACGCTAAACCGGCAACGCCACTCTCGATACTTTTTATCGATGGACCTGAAGAGCGGCTACTGGCAGATTGAAGCCAAAGAACGGGACCGAGAGAAGGCAGCTTTCGTCACGCCGGATGGACTGTAAGACTACAAGCTCTTCCGCTGACTGGAAAGTTGCTGGCGCCGTGCATTTCCCTTCGGACTATGCACGGCGCCAGCAACGTTTTAGCGTGTCATGGACACCGTACTGGCAGAACTGAAGTGGCAGAGCTGTCTCGTCTACCTGGACGATGTCGTAGTGTTTTCCGGCGACTTCGACGAGCACTTACGGCGACTTGCTCAAGCCATTCTTCAAGCCATATGGACCGCCGGACTCTTCCTCAAGCTGTCAAAGTGACGGTCAGCCTATGATGAACTCAAGTTCCTAGGTGGCCTGGTTAGTAACGAAGGCGGTCGCCCAGACTCAGAGAAGACTCGCGCCGTCGCGGCATTTCCAACGCCGAAAAACAAGAAGGCCGCGCGAAGATCCCTTGGACCATGTGCCTACGCTCAGCGCTTCGTTCAGGATTCGCAAGGATTTCCGCACCGCTCACAAACCTCAGAAAGGACGCCGAGAATTTCAAATGAGCCGAGGAGCAGCAGCAGGCAATTGACGAGCTGAAGCAAAGAGTATAGACTCCTGTTCTCGGACCTTTTGTGATCAGGATGCGGAAACCGAGATTCACACGGACGCTTGTAACACAGGACGTGAAGCGATACTGGTTCAAGCACAAGAAGGCACCGAGCGAGTCATCGCATACGCCAGTCAGACATTGTCCAAGACGGAGATAACTTACTCCACGACTGAACAGAATGTCTTGCGGTCGTCCGGTCAATCACGAAATTTCGTTGGTACTTGTAAGGGAGCCCGTTCCGTGTAGTGAAGGACCACCACTCGCTCTGCTGGCTTGCAAACCTCAAAGACCCTTCGGGACGCCTCGCTCGATAGAGTCTCCGACTACAAGAGTTCAACATGACTGTAGCGTACAAGTCAGTCCGCAAGCAAAGCGACGCCGACTGCCTGCCCAGGCCCTCTGTCGAGATACCTTCCGGCAGCAGCGCCGACAATGACGATGTGTGCTTCCTAGAAGCAATGACCACCGACAATCTGGCACGACGTCAACGAGACGATCCTGAGCTGTGGGCACTAATTGAGATATTGGAAGGGCGCGTGAATACCATGCCACGCAGTTTCTCACGATCCTTGCCGACATTCGCATTCGAAAAAGTGTACTCTACAAAGAAAACATCGGGGACAACAACT